CCCGATGCGGAGTTCGCGAACGGAAGCAAAATTTTGCGAACGGTGCTGTTCGTGACCCAAACTGGTCATGAACAGAAGCGTTCGTGACCCAAGGTACCACTGTACCATATCACAGTAAAATATATATATTGTGCAAGTAGTAAATATGCATAATCTCATTATCCTTCTGGATCTCTCTGAAGCTTTTAATACCATTAACCATGCTGTCCTTTTGGACTATTGCAAGGATTTGCAGATCAGAGGCAGTGGTTCTACTCCTTCCTAAGTAGGCAGTTCCAATCAGTGTTCATGCGGGAACACTCAGCAGTTTGGACCTGGTGCCTTTTGAATGACTGGATGTGATAGGGCAGGTTCAGGTTGAATCCCAGCAAGACATAAATACTGTCTGGTTGGAGGGTAGTTTCAACTTCAGCTCTGGTTGGAGTTGCATTACTCCTGAAGGATACAGTCTGGACATCCTTCTGGACTCACCTGCTAGAGCCACAGGTGAAAGCTGTGGCCAGGAAGGCATTTGGCCAGCTTTGGCTGGTTTCCAGTTGTGAGCTTTCCTGGATCAGAAGGTGCTGACTGGAATGGGTTGTCCCCTTTCATTTAAACTACTACAGTTAATTCTACATGGAACTGCCCTTGAATATGACTTGAAAGCTATACCTGGCACAGAATGCCTCTGCCTCCCTGCTGACTGAGTCTAACTAATGAGATCTATATTGCAGGGATTCCACTAGTTGCCAGTTTAATTCCAGGTCCAATTCAAGGTGCTGGTTATTACTTACAAAGCACTTTATGGCTTGGATTCTTGCTTTCTTTGGAATCATCTGCTGCAAGTGGAATCTGCCCACCCAGTATGTGCAGGCTGAAAGGGCATGCAGTTGGTCCCAACCTCCTGGAAATAAAAGGGAAGCAGCTGAGAGGATGATCTTGGTCATGGCCTCTGGTTTTGGAAAAGTTGTCCCTTGGCAAATAGAATGGCTTTACCCTGCTATCATTTAGAAGCAATTTAAGACCAAAGACTTTCACAGAGCTTTTAGAGTGAAGCACTTAGTGGGGGTCTGTGGGCATTGCCAGCATGAGTTGGTGTTACTGTGGTGTTTAACTGATTAACTGATGCTATCTTGTTTTAAAACTGTGAGCCATTTAGAATGCATTGAGTAAGCAGAATACACATATTGTAAATAAAGAAATAATGTTGTGTAACCTGTTTCACATGTTGCTAGCCTATGTGAAATCAAGTATAGGATCAAGCTGCAGATTGAGAGCAAGCTTTTAAAACTGCATGGGATCTGATGTCTTTGAATATGGAAGGGTCACTTTATGTCTTTTTCATCTTTCTTATGAAACTGGGTGTGGGATTATATAGTACATGAGCTTTTAAATTTAGAATTATATGGAAATTGATATATTATATGCATTCTAATAACTCATTAGCCAATGGAAAAAATAGATATGTTAATACATCTTGATAAACTATGGTTTATTTTGATAAGAATGAACTTTGCTCCACACCTCTAGGCTTAAATCTCCTGCTTGCCTTGTCTGCTTTGAAAAGAGTAGGGAAAGTGGTAAGGTTTTATTAAAATTTTTCAATTAATGGGTAGTTTGTCTGTTGTCTGAATCTAACAAAACTGCAGTTTACAAACATATGTGGAGTTGGTAGGTTCTTGTGTTTGAAACTGATATCATTTAAAAAAAAAAAAAACCCTTTTTGTTCTTTCCTTCCATCCCATGCTAAAATTTCTTTACTCTTTTAGTGGAAGAAGACACAGAAGAAAGTTCACGATCAGGTAGAGAATCTGTGTCCACATCTAGTGATCAACCATCCCATTCTCTAGAAAGACAGATGAATGGCAGTCAGGACAAAGGGGACCGGAAAAAAATTGGGAAGGACAAGAAAAAAGATCGAGATAAAGAGAAGGATAAAATCAAAGCCAAGAAAGGAATGCTCAAAGGTCTTGGGGACATGTTCAGGTAGGAATTGCAGAAAAACTTAATTTTTTTGTCTCATTGTTTGTGTTTTGCTGTTCATCAAATGCCACATTTGGGAAGTGGGACCACCTGTTTTCCTCATAACGTTATTTATAGTTCACTACCCATTTCCCAAATACTAATACTTTGAATATAATTAAAATGTGTTATTGAATGTTTTGTCAATCATTCACCCTCTACAGTCTGAGAAACATTACTCTATCAGAGTAAATTCTATTTTCCTGAGATTGACACATCTGGATAAGGGTCAATATTTTCATAAAGCAAAGGAATACTAACATGGGCATCTTCAGATGGGACAGGGGTGGGCAAATGATGACTTGTGGCATTAATACTAAGCTATGTCCTTTGCCCAATGAGATAATGATGCCTGTTTCATCATGCTGGCATCATCATGGCTTATAACAGATATCATTGAATGATAACCCTAGATGTTTTCTACAATTATGATAATTTATTGTTGAAATGCTATCATGGCCCAGTTTATATCTTCACAAACTGCTTGAAATATTAGCATGAAAAAATATGCTTCATGTGGTATACTGAGATTCCTTGTGAAGTTTGGGCAATTTATGCCAGTACTTCCTTTCTGGTTTTGTATTTGGAACGGAGAACATTTCCTAACTGCCAAACAGGAATTAGGTTGTTGTTTGCAAATGATTGGGGATTTAGCAAAATAGACTCAGCTGTAATTATTTAATCATTGTAAAAACTTGAAAGACATTTTTAAGGAAGATGATGGTTAAAATAAAATTCTTCTAGTATAATACTGAGAAAGCCAATAGGAAATTACTAGGCAGCCACAGTGAAGTGGCTGATGAATGATAAACTGGTTATTTGGAATGTAAGCATATCCGCTGATCAAGTTTTCTTGAAGACGGCACCTGCCTCAGGTACACCTCAGTTTTCTAAAACTCTTGGTCTGTGTTCCTCCCTGATTTAGTATTGCACTTTCCATGGATAGCAATAAATCATAACCTATGGGCAGCACAAATCAGCCAAATAAATATTGTAAACTGTAAATTAATATTAGAGTATGCAGGTTACCTACAATCCAATCCTTGCAGAGGTGTCTTATGAAGCCCTTATTAATATGTATATGTAATCACTTTTTAGTTTTTAAACAATGTACAGTCATATTTTAGTGTGGAATCATGATTTTGTATCCTTCATTACAAAAGCAGCCAATGCCATCTTTTATTATATTTATAGCATCTGGCTACTGTGATGTTTATTTGGATGGATTTGCTCATAAAGAAGTATCTTTGAGTTCATCCTGGGCTGCCTCCATGAAGTCTCATTTGTACGTTTCTAGTCAACTGAATGCTGTCACAGTATCCCTAGGCATAGAGCAATAACAACAATATCACTTTCTGAGCAGGATGATGCCTTGCTTTGTAAATATCAGGTTTCCTTCCAAAAGAATAATGTATGTAAGCAGCAAAATTTGCCTGAACCAAATCAATGTTGTTGTTGTTTTAGCTCCAGTCACTTATTGTGTAGCAAACACGGTAATCCTTCATTCTTAGTTGCTGTTGTAACATGTCGTATAAAATATTGTAAAAAAAATGTTTCTCTGATGTGATATTCAAAACTGCTCTTTTTCTCTTTTGTTTACATTGATGTGAGTCCTCCCCACCTTTCCCCATTTTATTTCTCAGTTGCAGACCTCTAAAAGACTGAATTTCTTGGTAATTTTTGAAACACTGCTTGCCTGCATAGTGTTTTCTAGCATTGGTACAGTACATGAGGAGCATAAGCCTGTTAATGATAATCAGAGGAGTGATGAGTAGGATTCAATACTCCCCCTGACCCCCATTACACATACACCCTCATACTGTCTTTTCTCTGTTGTAGCTTATATCTGTCAATAGCGGCATAAATTATGTCCTTTCTGAGAGAGAGCACAACTCCATCCAGGCTTTCCCTCAATCACTACCTTGTCCAGACTGTCAGCTTGTTTTTCCTCCTCCAGCCTATTACTGACGTTAGACCACATTTAATGTATTCATTGCTTCCTTGGAGTTAGATGGTAGGTTGAATTAGACCTGGGTGTCATCAACTCTAAATGACCTGCCTCAGCAGTTTCATGTAGATGTTAAACAGCATATGAGACCAGATAGAACCCTGTGGGACATCATAAATCAGTGACCCAGGTTTCAGACAATAGTCCCCAACATCTCTTGGCCACAACCCAACAAGAAGGACTGGAACCACTGTTGAACAATGCCTCAAGTTCCAGCCAAACCAGACAGCCCAGAAACACAGCATGGTCAGTGTACTGAAAGCCACTGAAAGGTCTAAGAGAACTAGCACAGTAGCATTGATCATCTAGTTTCTGGTAAAGGTCCCCTACAAAAGTGGCCAAAGCATCCTCTTAGATCCTAAATGAAGCCTAGTTGAAATCTGCAAGCCAGGTTTTTGGGGGTTTTTTGCATTTTTTGGTCTGCATGAATTAGTGTCATAAACATATTTAAATCAAATGTTATATTATTAAGAGGTTTTGCGAAAATCAAATTACATATACAGAGAAATGAATACTGAACATATTAAAATAAATCACTAGATTATTTTTCCTTTTTAAGTAATATTTAAATAGCTTTACTGTACCTTGTTGACTGTGATTAACATTTTATCCAGGGAGTTTAGACAGGTGCTTAACATGGATACTTATGAATTTCTAAATTTCTTCTTGAATCTTGGGGCTCACCAAATTACATATTCAATTGCAAAATGTTCACTGATGTGTTAACCATCTTTTGCATTATTTGATTGCATCATTGAAGGGGTTGTACTGGTAAAAAATTTTAAGGAACAGAAGATGAGGAATATTATTGGTCAGAGGCCTGCAGCTCATTTCTTGGGGGTAGATAAGAGAATGCCATAGAACCTTCTCATTTTATTTGGGGAAATCTGAAGCCCTGAGGTCTATACATGGCAGAGATGGTATTATGACAAGAAATTCCAGTCCAGAGTCCATGGGAAAAGTTGCTTGTCTCTGCTATAAGGTATTCCATTTCAGACCATTTTTTAAGAAGCCTGATAAGGGTAATACTATTCTTGTAAGCTGCACACTAGGCTTTATATTTACGAAATCTTGCATGGGCAGAACAGGGAACTTCAGTTAAATTCGAAACACCAGCCTTTTAGGAACTAATCAATCTTTCTGCAGGACAGTATATATCAGAGGACAAGGTGCTGCCTGAAAACCATGTATGACCTGTAAATACCCCCCCCACACACACACACACACTTTCCACTTTCCTTTTGTCTCTTAGAGCCTCTCAGAGCCAAAACATTTCAATCCTTTCTTTACAATTTGGGGATGTGGGAGCTCTTTAAAAGACAAAATAGGCAGTCTCCAAACTAGTTTTTTTCCCCCATTTTGGGGGACATTATGTACTTATTTTTCCCTAATCTCCCCAAGACCCCAAATTGTGAAAAAAGGGTCTTATCCCCCCCCCCAGTGCTTTCTGTCTTATAGCGTACTGTATGTATTCTTCCATCTGTTAGAAAAAAAGAAAAGGCTGCACTATTATCAGCCTTTATGATTATCAATAAACAGACCTAAGGCACTGAAAACCAGTACAATTTCATTTTGCCCTCTAATGATAAAAAAAAAAAGAACTGCAGTGTATATTGGGGGAAAATTAACTATTACTAAACCAAACACAAAAATGAAATAATAATTAAATAATAATTAAGGGGAGGGGAAATGTGACCCTGATTACTTTCATACACTCTCAGCATGTCAAGTAAATCCCAGTTCTCCTTATCTTCTTTAATTTAGTATTGGAACCTTTGTCACATTTAAAAATACAATCTGGGGGTATTCAGAGTATTTGGGAGCAGGAATCAAATCTAAGTTATTGTTCTATGTTCATGATATCTTGAAACTTTTTAATTTATCAAAGACTTTTCCTAGATTGTAGAATTGATACAGTAATATAATAAAAACTCTAGATACACAATAAATTGGAGCAATCAGAATCTAATATTTTGCCAAGTGATAAAGGTATAATTAGATGTATGCAAAAATAGTTCAGATCATATTAAATACCAGAGGATAATTATTCAGAGAAAAGTATCTTTATTAATAGATATGAATATTTATATAGCCCTGATAAATGGGACATTAATAGGTGGATGAAAATAGCTACAAGTCTGTGGATAAGAATAAATGTAGTGAAAATGAATATGGCATCATTGATAACAATGAATGACTTGATTCCACTCAGATACTTTAATTTGATATATCAGTGGTTGATTTTCTGGGGAATGGTCAAACAGCAAAGATGCTTTAGCAGTCTCTGAAAAACTGGTAGCACTGAAGATATTTTTTGTAGAAGCTAAACGAACAATTCAGTATTATCAACGGTTACATTTTAAAATAAAAATAAATGCAGATAATATAGAAGGAATGGAATATAGAATTGGGATATCTTATACTATCAAACCAATGGTTCTAGGTTTTAAGAAATGTTAAGAATAGTTGTTATGGTTTAAAAACTAGGTTAATCAAACCAAAAAAAAAGTTTTGGGGTCTATTAAGTTCCTCAACTGTTATTTAAAAAACGTTGGATTCATCCTTCCTATGTTGGCGATCTAATGAATGTGAAGTTACATTAGTTCATATTGCTTTGGTCCATGCCCAGTGTTACTTCCTTTTAATTTAGATGTTATTACTGAGGGTAGCCAGGCTCTTGGGAGGAAGGTAAGGTTTAAGGATGTTGTTAGATTTTGATTGATTATGTATATTAAGTCATTTTTGATTCCTAGCAACCACATAGATAGATTTTCCCATGACGATCTATCCCTATCCTGGACATTCAGGTCTTCCAACAGGGCACTCATCACCACTGTAACTAAGTCCATCCACCTTGCTGCTGGTTGTCCTTGCCTTCTCTTTCCTTCCACCTTTCCCATCATTAGAGGCTTTTCCATAGAGCTAGGTCTTCACATAATGTGGGCAAAATAGGATA